TACATCAGTTTATCCGCTAACCCCCCCATTAACAATTTGACAAACAGCCCTTTTATAACAGGCCCATATCATTCTGCTTGACTTTGCCCCTCGGAGGCTGAATTCAGTTATTGATTGCCTGTTCAGTTTCACTTGGAAAAGGTTGATAAAAGGAGGTTTTCACTTTCTCAATTCGATGTGACAGCTCCCTAACAAGAAGAATGGACGGAGCCCATTCACAGGCAAATCAAGCTAATCCAGCGTGCCCCCGCGCTCTCAATGGAGAAGTCACAGTCCTTCCCGGCCCATTCCATCACCAGCCCCCTCCTCCCAGCCGCCCCCCACCCCTCGTCTTCACAAGCCTTCAAAGTTAGCCCAACTCCTCCGAGAGACAACATTGCTCTTTGTGCGCACCTCTCCCTAGCCAACAAATGGGTAAACAGCTCAGTAAACGTGTACCGAGTCAGAGCGGAAACAAAAACTCGGGCGCATAATCACTTTGCTTTCGCTGTAATCTGCTTTCGGCGCGCTTCCACTTCTGTTTGGTTTCCACCTGTTGATTTCGCAGGCCGATTTCAGCCCGGGCAAATGACATAGAAGTGTGAAAGTGTCAGTGGAATGTACAAAAGTTCAATGTAAATGTTTTTTTATTTAATATTAAACGATTAAAGTGTCAGCTAATGCGTTCCATCAAGCACCGCATATTAGTACACTGTCGGCCTTTCGCAAAATTTGCTAATTTCATAATTTGGGGGGCGCGGGGGGATATCATCTGTTATTCATCGAACATCTCTCTTTGCTGTTTTTGCAAAGTACACATAAAACCAACATTTTATATTGAAAGCTAAAAGGGTAAAGATAATCCGTTTATATAGCCGCTGTTTGTTCTTGCGGAATATTTCTGTTTTCTGACTTTTTTTTAGGGAGCTATTGTCTCTTATTAACATAACATAACATGAGAACATAAGAGATACACGATAATAAATTTGCATTTGCATAATTCTAAATATCGACTATCCATGGCTACGAGAGTAATCAAAACAACTTCTTATCTTAGATTTGTGTCTGCTAGCTTAATGCTAACACCATTGACAGACTAACGACTGGCATATATGTCACAGTGTTATAACCCTTGAAGCAACGGATCTTTGAACACAACAGCACATAGACAGACCACGTAAGAGCACCCACAGGCATATATTCTTTATCCTATGTGCAGATAAAGTGATATTACTGCAGTTTACTGAGGACCTGTAACCAACTCCGCCCACAGCCTGATGTCTGTATTATACTGACGCCAGGTGGCCAGAAAGGAGCAGCACCATGTTCAATGAATTGAAGCAAAAAAAAAAAAAATTGACTAAAATGGTTTAATACTTTATATTATATTTAACTGTCTAAATACACTACTTATTTATATAGTTCAGCATCATCTATTTTTCTAATTTAAAATCATCACAGTTTTTCCTTTTTGTATTTTTTTTTTTTTTTTTGGCGGTGGCGAGGGGGATGTTGGAGTGGATTCATGGCATTTCCATTATTTCACTGGGAAAAGATCCAGAAAATGAGCCTGGTCATGGAACGAATTGAACTCTCAAGGCACCCCTGTATTATTACCATTATTATTGTTATTATTATTGTTATCATTATTATGGTGGCATGACCGGTTGTTGCTCAGCAGAGTTCACAGAGTTCAATCATAGCTGTGACATAATCTAACTGTCATAGACCAATCAAGAGTTGGCAATCACACCCAACAGGCTATTTTAATATCCGGCAGGCAATCAACAAGCCATCATCGATCAAAGCTGTAAGACTCATAAAACTCGTGAAATTGGATGTACTTGATATTTTGTATGTTCATTCAGCAAAAATACACAGCGTGAAGAAAGAAAATCTGATTGGCTATTTGTGGCATTACTCACAATAAATTGTAATCAAAGTACATAAGCGGCATGAGTCACACATTTTTCTGCTAATCCCACGTCAGAATAGAAAACGGGTGCAAAGGCAAGGGTGAATTCGTGTCCACGTGAGTCAACGTGGGTGTGCGTGAAAGTCTTCACAAGGACCGTGCATTCCCCCCCCCCCCCCCCCTCCCCCACCCACGAAGCTTTTACTCACTTTCATCAGCGATTTCGATTTCTTTGTAGATGATGCCGAAACGTTTTGTTGCGTGTTACGATTATGCTAACCCAAAGAGGCGATGTCACGGTCACTTGTAGCAATGTAACCCACGACTTGGTGAAAGAATTTTCCAAAAATTATGTAATATTTACCCACTGTACTAAATTGGACCAAATGACATGTTTCTGTTTTTGTAAAAGGGTAGTGCTGATATGAAGTTATTGTGTGAATGTTGAAGGCACAGTATTCTCCGCCATTTAACTTGATTTAGATTTTATTTGCAGTTTTTTGACATTATTCTACATTTGTTAACTGATGCCCATCATTCCAACTTCAACATTTTCAAAAAATTCACACATGTGGGCCATTAATTTTCATGTAAAAAAAAAAATCAGTTTTTCCAACAATTCCAAATTTTTCACCCCCCGCCCCACAAAAAAAATAAATAAAAATTCCCATCCATTCCCATTGACACATTGAACACATCGTTCTCATTCAAGAATCTTCATTCTGCTGCAAGCTTTCAAAAATTCCCACATATATAACATCCATTCCACATTCCACTTTTGATTTGATCATTTTTCAACAAAATCAATCAATATCATTTGGCATTTTTCAATACCATTCCACGTCATTCCATAAATTGCAATATGTGACAAGAGTAATATTTTTACCGCTCCCTCACTGGCACTTTTTCAAAAATGCACGATTCAATTAATCATTGATTAATTGTGTGGATAACGAGTATGAGTCTGGAAAATTAATTTGATGTTTGGGTTTGTCTGTTAAAATGTATTTTTGTTGACTGGTACACAATGAACTCAAACTCAAACATGGGCGTCCTCCATTCGAGGCAATGCAGACAATTCCACTTATCTTGAATGTAGCGGCCAAATTGGTTTCATTAGGCAAGGTTTTTTTTTTTTTTTTTTTTTGTCAACAACATAAACAACCTCTTTGTGACGTCTTTTTTTCCCCCCCACTTAAAGAACTTTACAAGGTGTCGTCCGTCTTGGGTCAGAAGATCGCAGAGGTCTCATTTACGTCTGACTTTGCGCGTCTTTGTCGTCGGCGTCTTTCAGGTGAAAGAAAAGCGGGGGGAGATTAACATGACTTTGCTTTATCCACCGCATACAGTCCTCAAAACCATAAAACACGTCCCAAAGACGACTCGGCCCCCGGCTCTGAATGCACACTTGTTCCTGCTCTCAATTCAGCTTTCAGGCCCCTCTAAGGAGACAAGGCCCAATCACAATATTGTCAAGGCTCTGTTGGTTTTCTGGTTCAAATCCTTGTTCACGCTGTTTGCTGAGTACTCATCTGCTGTGACAGGCTTCAGACAAACACTGAGTCCTGAAAGAGGTCTCCCACAACCAGATCTTTCCTGCTGGGCAGTGGCTAAAACGCTCCTTTCTCTCGCCATCAAGTGGAACCCGGCCTATTGAGCCGGGCCCTGGGATCCCTCCATTGACGTGGGCTACGGGCCAGCGCTTCACCCCTCCTCGCCCCGGGCCACCCTCATTCTCCAGGGACACCTGTACCCCCGAAGTCCCATCGTGAGAAACCTTCCCTGCGGGCTTTTGCCACCTGAGCTCCGTCGAAGAGTCAAAGGATGCCAGCCAAACCCGCCTCTGAGAACTTTGTTTACTGGCAAGCGCTCACACGGATTGAAGTTGAGGGGATTAAGGCCTCAAACGGCGCAAGCGAACGCGACCAAGTTCGCAGGGTTCCGCGACTAGTTGGATGTTCGTTATCAATTTTCTTTCCAGACCGATACCAGTACGAGTGCTGACCGATAGCAAGTACTGATACCACAGGTACATTTGATACATAAAATTTGAATGAATTAACACAATGACAGAGACCCAGTCAGTTAAACACAAACTTCAATAAATCCCGTTGAAGGGGTGTTATACTGAACCACGATGTAAAACAAAGACAAACTATGACCAGATATACTACTGAAGGTGGATACTGTACAAGTACAGCAAATTAAGCCACAGGTGAGTTTAGCACTCCGAATAATAGACTTAGGTAAGTAAACAATCTATGTTGCCTGTACTGCATTCAACAGGAAATTAGACCTTATTAATGCAATGAATAATAAAAACCTTACCCTATTCTCAGTTACATGCGTAAGTGCCATTAAAAAAAACAAACAAAAAAACTGTGAAATCGCAGAAAATCGTCATACCACTCAAATTGAGTCAGCAAATAAATGTATACATTTTGATAGCAACACTCTCATAATGCACTGTGACTTATGAATATAAAGCTTATAAATATTTGTGTTTGTGTCTTAATGTGGATGTGAGAGTGGAGAAAGATGCAATTCACACAGATGAACATCATGTCATCCACGTGTATCATTTCCTTCCTGATAGTAGAAATGCAGACAAGAGGGTCTTAAGTATTGGAGGCTGTTATCCGCAGCCTTCAAGACTACTCGATACATTGAAATAAGACCAGTATCAGCCAGATACTGATACCCGGTATCAGTAATCGCCCAACCCTAATGAGTCGCCCACTACCATTGTCACAATTTGAAATTTTAATCTTCTGTGAGGAGCGTCATTAAAGTCATCTGTCTTACTTACTTTACGCAACTGTATTTTAATTGAGTCTCGTTCTGATGACTTTTTCCACCCTAAATTTGGAAACTGTTTTTTTTTTAATTCTGTGCATGCCGGCATGACATAACAAAAGCTCTAAGTCATGTGAAAATTTGATTTCGAAATATTTTAAATATATAATTAATTTTTACACACATTTTTTTCATTATTTTCAAAAATATTATTACATTTTATTTTATATTCATTTATCCATGTATTTTTTCCCCATTTTTTAATGTTCATTTCATTCACTTCAGTCTTTTTATGATTTATTTTTGCCAGTGAAGTCAACTGAGATTGAGAATGCAAACAACCGCGGGGTGAGTACTGTACAACAAACTCTGCTATTGCACAGAAAAAACTGTTCAGACACCATTCGGGTATCACCAAGGAGCTGAAGAAGACAGATAAAAAAAAAAAGGGGGGGGCAAGTATCTGTACTTGTACTTAAGTAGAGAGTGTAAGCGGGCCTACTTTTGGCACCACTGCACTTGTATAACATTTGGATGAGAAGCACACGAGTTCTCTCCGGGACTTCGCGCTCCCTCTCAATCTCCATGGCACGCTGCGAAAAAATGGCATCAATTAATCAACATTCATGGACCGTTTACTCGAGCTCCCCTTTGTGCGCGGCGGCAGGGTCGAATCCAGACAGAGAGCAGGCTGTTCTGCGGCAGCGCAGACTGCGTCACTCCAGCCTTTGTGCGAGAAAGCCATCAACTGGTGTTTCAGGGAAGTCTCCCGTCCCCCCTCCACCTCCCCCTCCGTACACACCTCCCTTCCCCTCCCTCTCAGCTTCCTCCTCTCGTGCCCTCTCAGTACTCGGGGCAGGAAGCGCTGTCTCTTAGAGGAGGCCATCCATCCATCCATCCATCCATCCTTCCTCTCTCAGTCCAATTGACAGCCATGTATGAAGAAGACATCTGTCCATATTTGAGCACATTTTGCTGCAAATGATCTCACCCCTCCATCCTGTGTGCTGACACTTGGCCCGCATAAAAACCTGCCAATTCTTTGACGCGCAGAAGAAGCGTTTTTAATTGCCGCCTGCGTTTCGAGGCCCCTCTCTCCCCCCTCCCCTACAATCGCACAATCAATTACGGCGGAGATGCCTTTCCCCCCACGTCGCGATGTTTGCCCCAATTTACTGCACTTTTCATGCACTTGTGCGACTGTGGCTCGCCCTTTTCACAGCATGCAAATTTGGCACATTTGGCTTGAAATGGTGCATAATTGCCCATATTGAAATCTACACCTTTCTACGAGAAGGTTCCTGGCAGTTAGTTCTGATTAAACCTAAGGCGTGGAGGGAAAAAAAATGCAATTGCATCACGCCGCAGCACAAATGCCATCTGTACCATCTTGTGTTAAAAGCAAGGAAATTGGGGATGAAATGGATGCAGACCTGCATCCCTCGAGAAAAAAAAAAAAAAAGCAAATCGGTGTGTGTCACGTTTCTTTTCTGACAAAATTGCATCAGGAAATCTTATTTGTCACCCCCCGCAAAAAAAAATCATTTCAAAGTTGAATGTATTTCTAATACAGGGCCTGTTCTGTCACAATAAATAAATAAATAAATGTAGGAAATAAAAAGAAGCAGTGATTCCAAATGTATTAGAACATATTTCCCCACTTGAGTTAGGGAGATTTCAAGCTCACTTTGTAACCTAAGTTGAACATTGTTAGCCCAAATAGTACATTTGACGCAAAGACAACATTTCACTTAAAATGTTGGCAGGTGTATCCTGACTCCCATTTAACTTACGTTTGAAGTTGCGCACACTTGTGCAACCTCATTTATTTTTACTTCCTCGAGCTAAAATACTTTTTGTTTTTTGTTGAGTTGTACAGGTTACACTGCACATTATTGGTGGGAAAAGTTTCCAATTGTTTTATATTCCGAAAAAAAGAAATTTTTTTAGAGGGGTGTGTAGACTTTTTCTAAGTGCATTACACTACCAGGCAGCTTCCTACAACTATTAATGACATCCATCCTCACCCACTGCTTCCGTAACTTTTTGGAACCCCCAAAACAAAACACGTTTTTTTTGTTGTTGTCATTATTTCAGTTCAGATCTGTTATCGTCAATCACCTTTCTGCAACCGGGAAAAATCTCAGAGCCTATTGCATACAAAAGTTTTGAAATGACCTTCAAGGCAACTTAACTAATGGCTGGATCATCTAAGCAAAACAGAAAAACATAAATGTCCATCATAACAGTGACAGAAGTGATATCTGGTGATGGTTTCGACTCCCAAGGATTATAGAAATGCTCTAAAGCAACTTTTGAAGCAGTTGGACTTTTATTTTTTTCAAAATACATAACGGTGTCTACAGTGTGATTTAAAAAAAAAAAAAAAAAAAACATGGTAGTAAGTGTAGCCCAATTAGTAGGAAGGTCATGTATGGCTGGCCTTTTCCACATTCAAAAAACTGAATAGTGTGTCAACCTCGACATGCGATCGCCACCAAAGTGTTTTCCGCTGCTTTTTATTACGCCGCGTTCAAGGTTGTGGTGAAAGAAAGGAAAAAAAAATACTCGCTTTCTGAAAGACTCTCTGAGCCTGAAGTGGTGGCCTGAGCCCACTCCAGACAATGCCTTACAAGATACTGTTTAAATTCATATCCGCTCGTCCTTTCTTCTGGGGGGACACCTCCACAAACCACTGACCCACCGATACACAATTAGAAGTGATGCGGCAGTTAAGGCGACAAGCAACTCTGTTGAACAGACTGTCTTTGACCCTCCGCCATTGAATAAATATAATGCCCCCAATGAGAGTAAGACACTGGGCCGGAGTGAAAAGGGAGCTGGGGACGATTTTAAGCTAAGTAGTTAAAGACCTTTATGGAGTATAACGCCATTATCCCTGCTGAATAAAAATAGGATTTAGTGTTTTTTCCACTTAATTTAAATCAAAAGAGTCCCCACCTTACATATTGCACTGGTAGTGTAATGGAGAGAGCGCCACAAAAAAGGCTTTGTGGCTCTGACAACTCCTATAGTCGGACCGTGTTGTCTCGCTAGCAAAAGGAGAGAAAGAGATTTTCTTCCCGGCGTTGCTATCTACAAACACATTCTAATTGATGCTGCTGCATTCCTCCACTGGATGCATTCAGTGAATAACGAGCCTCGGATTGAATGCCCATGAATTGGTCCCCACCAAGCAAAGCAGTAAAGCCTTTCGGGCCCCCTGTCCCTCTCAGTCTACCCACACCGCCATGGCAGCCAGCGAGTAGCACCTCCCTTCACCGAAAAAAAAAAAAAAAAAACGTCCCCAAAAGCTCTTCTCTTAGCTTTACCGCCCATTAAAGCATGACCATTGTGCGGGGGATGCGGCCCACAAAGGCTGTCAATCTCTCCGGGTGCTCCGAAAAGCTTGGACTCACACAGACTGGAGTGACGGACCAACCCCCACCACCTCCTTCACCCCCGCCGTACCCCTCAAAATCCTCTCCCAGAAAAACTTCTCAGCTAACTATCCACCCCCGCCAACACCACCCCCACCCCCCCACTCCCCAAGAACCCACTCTCTCCCTTGCTCGCTCTCTCTCCAGGCCCGGCGCACAAAGCATCAATCTGTCTTCAGCCTCAGCACCCTTGGCCCTTTGTCCCATCTGCAGGTGCCTCTGAAAGCGCCCACGGTCGCCCCGGCCTCCGCGCACGCCACGCCTAGACCGCGGACAGGAACTGCTGACAAAGGCCCAGTGTGGGAATGAGGGATGCGTGCAGGGCGGGAAAGGGGGAGGCGAGGGTTTGCGGGTAAGAGGGTGGGGGGGGTCCTCTAAGACAGATGGCTAGGGAAGTCTCCCAACTCTTCCACAGAGGCTGTCAGTTTAAATTCACAAGTACGACGGAGACACACGAGGGGAAAGCCGCAGAGGGAATGCCCGGCAAATTCGGCAGGCAGCGTGCTTTTTAAATCAACAGCTGAGGCCTCGTTTAGTGTTATTTGACAAACGTATGATCCTTGTATTCCTTTTGCAGTTGCAATGCAAAAAAAAATAAACACAAACGTTGCTGATTCGCCGTTGTCGGGTGGAAACCTCGTACGTCCAAAATCGGGTCAATGACATGTTTTTTCACAAATCGATACTATTGCACGGTCCCCACGTCAACATATTTTGACACATCATGAACCCATTTGATGTCGCTGGTTACAGGATATATTTGTCACCGCTTTAAACACCACCTGAGCATTATTTTATAACTTTTGGGCAATTATCGTCATACCTTTATACTGTCAAATGCTGCCATTTTTGGTGAGCGAGGGCATTTCCGTACCTCCAGATGTGAAGATTACGAGCCGCATAATGTCAGGGACAATGCTCTCAAGATAATGAATGGAAAATCCTCACACTATGTGGGCAGAGGCAGACAGATATAGAGGGGATGCAATCGGGAAGAAGAGCAGATAATCTTGACACTGGAATTTCCAACTACAAAAATCTTGTGTATGACGCTTGCTTTTTGCTGAATACAAAATCGAACTCATTCTCGGCCTGATTTTTGGCTACATTCACACTGCAGGGTGTGATGCCAGATTCAGCCTTTTTTTTTTGTTTTGTTAAATCCAATCTTTTGATGTACCTGTTCACATAAAAAAAAAAAATGAAACTTCTAATGTGAGCGATACATGTCCATGATATGACACAAATGCACACAAAACACAACGTCGAGTGACGTGCACAAAAAAATAAATACATAAAATAAAAATGTAATGGGGCGCAGTGATTATGCAAGTAAATGGTCATCATCTCATTTCGTCAAAGTAGCGAGGCGGGAGGAGGTAGAAATATTTGGAGGATATGAGGCAACGTTTCTCAAGCTCCTCATTTCATGAAGACGTCTACTAAAGATGATGTCACACATAGCAAATGAATCTTTTGAACAACTACTATCACCACCAAAGTCCACTTTATGCTTCCTGTTTCAAGTGGGATTAAGATTGAATAATGTTGTCAGTCATCTCTTAAGCACTCTCCCCAGCCCGCATTTGTTTTTATATTGCATTTGTCAGGATATATCGGTCGGATGTTTGCGGATGAGAATTCTTACTGCAGACCCATCGCATACATATCCGATTTATAACCATATACGAAAGAGGCCCTGGTCAAATTTGGAGAAAAAAAAATCAGAATTATACTGTTCACACTACATGAAATAATCAGATACGTGTCGCATAAAGCCATAAATCGGAATTGAGCTGCAGTGTGAACATAGCCTTTGACTCCTTACACAAATGTATCAATAAACTACTTGTGAAAAATGTAAGGTGTTGAAGGCAATTCAAGAACAAATCTGTTAATGCCCTTGAA